CTGGCAGACCAGTTATGTTACTGGATGTGTATTATGTATATAGGACAAAGCCTATTCCTGATTATGTCCTGAACCTGAATGAATAATGAAGTCAATTCTGTATCATCTGGTATAAATTCAGCAGTTTCGATAGGCAAAACAACTCTTTCTGCAAATTGTGAATCAATAACTATATTGATAAATTCTTTAAAATCCCTTAGTACTGTCATAATAGCATATAACTCTGCCTTTTGGACAGAATTATAAGGACTTTCTTTCACCTTACTTAGTTCTTCTGATTTGTAACCTACCTTTCCTGATTTATTTGCATCACCACAAAATGTACCATCTTCATTCATTGGTGTGTCACCTACAATTCAGGGAAGAATCCAAGTAGTTCTCATTATAAGTTTAATTCTATCACTTTTGAGATAATTGCTATTAATTTCTCCCAAAAATTTAGCATAAGTTCTTTGCCATGGTTTATTGTCTTCCCATAATTGTTTAACTTCATCAGTAGTAAAAGGCACTATAATCTCTGCTGGGTCTATACCTGCTAGTTAATGAAGTCTCAATTTTCCTTTTATAATTAATTCAGAGTATTTCCCACATAAATCTTTAATAGTTTACTTGGTTTATATGGTTAAAAGATCCTTTCTAAGCAAATATCTACCCTCTGCTTTAAAATTCCTGTAGTGGAAATTTTGGAAGGCAATATGGTTAGAATACAATTAAGATTTGGATTCACCCTATCCACATGTGCCTCCTGTAATGTCTTTTCAATGATCATAAATTCATTTTCCACTTCAGCTGTCAATTCCCTGGGACTAATTAGGTCTTTGTCAACATGTAAGATTTTGTTTCAATGAATTATTAGATCAGGTATTATTCCAACAATTTGTTGTAGACTGGAAATGTTTCTAACAATCTTTGAAAGTCATTAAGAGTCTGCAATCAGTCTTTCCTAATTTGTGCCTTTTATGTTCTAATTTTCTGTAAACCTATTTTGTAACCTAGGTAATTGACAGAATCTCCACTTTGTATTATTCAGGAGCAATTTGTAATCTTCATTTAGGTAAAACTGTCTTTACTTCTTCAAAAATTCCTTCTAATTTATCTGCATTTGAATAACAAAATGTCATCCGTATAAATTAAAGACTTAGGAAATCATTTACATATTATTTCAATAGCTGACTTACAAAGTATTGGCACAGAGTTGGATGGACAATTAAGCATTCTGTGTGGGAGGACTGTCTATTGATATTTCCTAGTAGGCTGAGAATTATTGTAAGTAGGCACAGTGAAGGCAAATTATTCTCTGTCCTTTTCTTGTAAAGGTATAGTGAAGAAACAATCTTTTAAATCAATAAGTATAAGAGGCCATCCTTTTGGTAATAGAGAAGGCAGATGAATTCCAGATTGTAGAGGGCCCATAGGTTGAATTACCTTATTGACAGCTCTGAGATCTGTCATCATTCTCCATTTACCAGATTTCTTTTTTACAACAAATACAGGAGAATTTCAAGGGCTGGTTGATTCTTCAACATGGTGAGCATCTAATTTTCCCATACCAGCTGTTGTAAAGTCTTTAATTTCTCTTCTGTTAAAGGTCATTTTTTTCTTCCATATTGGTTTCTCAGGTAATCGTTTTACAGCCAGGGACATTTGTATTTCTGAAGGTTTGCTAGTTTCTTTGTGTTCTTGTATATGGTGAATGGCTGGTGACCTTTGTTTGTAATATCTTATAATATCCTTTCCAGAAAAATGAATTTTTGGACTGCAAAAATGCTAATCTTGGCAATCCTTTGCTGCAACAAGTCACAACCCCATAAATTCATTGCAATATTAACTACATATGATCTGAACTTTTCTTTCTGTCTTTCTGGCCCTATGTATTCAACCCATCTCATGCTTTGTTTCACATGAGATAGGGTTCCAATTCCCAAGACTTGAATTTTTACCTCTTGAAGAGTCCAATTTGGATGCCAAGATTCTTGAGTTAATGATTCTTATGTCCACACCTGTACCTATTAATCCATCAATTACAATGTCATTTATTAGCTGTAGTTTTTGATCATTTATAGAAGTCTACCAAATATATGTTTTTTACTTCCTACTGGTTTTTTTTTATAGATCCTCCATGTCTATTCTATCATCCAGAACATTATGGTTTTTTACAGTAGGCTCTGGATTTTTAAATTTTTCCTGGTGAGACATGTTCTCCACAGTGACTGGGAACGACTGGACCACATTTGACATGGAACCCCCAGGAGTTTTCCAATGGTATCAGGTTGCCTTATCTGTCTTTTGTCTATCTACATTCATTGGTCCAATGTTGGTCTTTGCCATACCTCCTACATATACCAGAACGAGACCTAGAATTCCTATTTTTGCCATTCATAGAGGAAACATCATCCCTAGGAATTCCTTGTCTACAATCCCTTCTCAGATGTCCTATTCTACCACAATTAAAACATTTGGCATTTTGGTTTCTCCTTATACCATTGGAAATCTCTTCTACACAAGAGTCAGTACTGTAGTCCAATGTCTCAACATTCATGGTATATAAGATCCATTCATCTACTGGTGATGATCTAACCTTTGAAGGCCCAAGGATCTTTTTCCATCCTAAACTGGCATTTTCTTTTTTTTTTTCACTAATAAATTTCTAGTTTATTCAATATAAGTGTACATGAAATTTCAATAGACAATAGAAATGTGCATGACATCTTGGCTTAGAAGTAATCAGGAACTAAACTGGCATTTTCAAAACCCAAAGATTCAATAAGTACACATCTAGCTTCTGATTGTCCTACTTGTACAGCCTCAGTTAGTCTTTGTAAAAAGCCACTAAATGGTTCTCTCTGGCTCTATTTAGCCCAAATATATGATTCAATTCACTTTCCTAGTTTCTGAATACTTCCCCAAGCATTTAAAGCTGCAGTGCTACTCAGGGACAAAGTATGTTCATTGTAGAGAGCTTGGTCCTGAGGATTGGGGTAATGGCCCTCACCAAGAATTTGATCTTGGGAAGTCTCAAATCCCTTTGCTTTCTCCGGTTGTTCTAAAATTGCCTCTTCTCTCCAATAACACTTCCAAAGCAGCTGAGGTTTGTCTTCTAGGACCATTGTACTTAATTGAAGCTACTAATGTGGGGTAGCCTTATTTCTTGAAACAGATATTTTCACCATTTCCCAAACAAATTGTGAATGTAGTCCATAAGATACTATTGCTTAATATCTTTTAGATCACTCATATGTATTGGTTCACAGATATATTCTGTGACTACCTTAGGGTACTTTGTGGCAATTGTTTTTCAGAGGGAATTACTGGATCAGTAGTTTAAGACTCTGGGTAAGTCATCCCAGAGTATGGCATGTACTGATGAGGCTAAATTCTGTCCTTGCACCTTTTCTCCCTGCTTACCAGTTTAGAAACATTCCTCAATCTTTTCAAATCTTTTTACTACTGTCTTTTGTAAAGTCTGAATCTGCTGTCCAGTGTTCTGTTCTAATGTCCTCATTGAGGATTCAAAGGTATGAAATTTGTCTAGTAAAGATAACATCTCATCCTTGGACATAATTTTGATGCTGTGGATATTACCTTCCATTATCTGTTAATCGATAGTAACTTTTCAACATATTCTGATTATTAAATTCAGCAGCACTAAATCTCTCAAATAATGTCTCAGCACCCTTAGACACTGACTGCATTTTGTCTGTCAAACTGATGATATCCATCTCCAAAATGTTGATTTCCCCAACTAGCTGTCCATTATTAGTCTGTGAAGATTACATCATTTCCCAAAGTGCCTCATTCTTGGCTGTGTTATCAAACCACATTTAATGTGATAATTTGAAAATCAAAACTAAGCCTTTGATCCAATTAAAGGGATATATCAAGAAAATCACATAAGCATTGCAAAAGACCATCTATAGCATATGCGAAATAATTATTGAACTCTTGGATAGGTATGTTATTGGTAATTTTTGTAGCTTTTCATATCTTACCTGTCATGAGTCAATTACAGTGAATTGGAGTATGTGTAATAATCACTATTGGTCAGCAGGTGTTGCAGTTGCATGACCGAGGAATGCAAGTAGCAGTGGACAATCCCAGTTTTTGGTTTTGCACATGTTAGATAAAGAAAACCCAAAGCTTCCTGTCAGTGTGTTTCATGGACTGTGCGTGCCACGAGGATCATATAGGCAGCAGTATGTGGGCCAGTGTGTAATGTACTGAGCAGCAGTGTATGGGTCATGAGCTGGGGAATGCTGAGCAGCAATGTGCTGTGTCTAAGTGCCAGCTGGAGCCATGGGCGTGGATAGTCAGTGCAGCTGGTAATAAAAAGGGTAGACTGGTTCCCATGGTTGGGCGCCAGATGAAGATGGACGCTAAAAAGAAATTCCACACTAGCTCCAAATTGAATATAATAAAGGGTTATTTATTTAGAGGTAGACTCACATATCACAGTCCTCTGCATGAATGGGGAACAGGAACTGAATCCAGCAGCCGGAAGAGAGGAAGTGTGTGTTTTATCTTAGCATTTACAGGATAAGAGACCATGTTGGTATCTTAGAGGATATTGGCTGAAGGGGTTCTTACAGCACCAACTAGCTCTTATAACTTAAAATATCAGGTTTCTATTAACCTACATTTTGCCAATTGGCTCTTTACCTCTCCTCCATTCTGTACATCTGACTCTTCCCAAGACTTGCTGTCATCTGCTGCCACACCAGATTCATCCCAAGTTCCTCTCTTTTCTGAGAAGTTCTTCCCATTTTCTCCTGTCTAGTTATCAGCCACTCAGAGCTTTATTCAACCAATCAGAGGAAAATGTGGCAAAGACCCATCATCACAATATACAAAAATTATCCTGTAGCATATTATATATGCTGATGGAATTTATAAGAAAAATATCAAAAAATGTACATTATGAGAATGGCATTTTTCTCCCTAGTGTGAACTTTCTGATGTATTCTACAATTTGAAAGATGGATATATGATATGTTAGTCATTGCATTTGTTGTTTCTCTCTAGTATGAATGTTCTGATGGGCTTTGAGGTGGGAGTACCTCATAAAAGACTTTTTACACTCCTTACAACTGTAAGGTCTCTCTCCAGTATGATTTCTCTGATGTGCTCTAAGATGTGACATGTCAATAAAGGATTTGTTACATTTCTGACATTTGTGAGGTCTCTCTCCAGTGTGAACACTCTGATGTCTTCTAAGAGTTGAAATTCGGAGAAAAGACATGTCACAGTGTTTGCATTTATGAATTTTCTCTCCAGTATGAATTTTTTGATGTGTTCTGAGGTCCGAGCATGTAGTGAAAGATTTGCCACATTCCTTACAACTGTAAGGCCTCTCTCCTGTATGAATTCTCTGATGCGTTCTAAGAGTTGAATGCCGGATAAAGGATTTGTCACATTTTTCACACTTGTAAGGCTTCTCTCCAGTATGAATTTTCTGATGTGCTCTAAGAGTTGAAGGCCGGGTAAAAGATTTGTCACATTCTTCACATCTGTAAGGCCTCTCTTCGGTATGTATTCTCTGATGTACAGTGAGGCTTGAAGCAGCACTGAAGTATTTCCCACATTTCCCACACTGGTGTGGTGTCTCTCCAGTGGAGAATTTTTGTTGCAAAAGTCTATATGTAGAGTCATAGTAGTCATCATATTCTCCCTGCTTGTGTTCTGATCTTGCAGTGTAGAGTCTCTGATCTTGAGTAATGTTGGGATACAAATTTAATGATTTCTCACAGACTTTAGAATTGCAAGTTTTTTCTCCAGTTTGCATGCTTTCATGTCTATCTGGGTTTGATGGGTCAATAGAAGCACCCCTGTTATTACTGCATCTGTAGTTATTAGAGTTTTCTGTAGTTTCATTTGTTCTATAAAGTGCACATGTGGAGGGGTCCTGAAGTACGTTGTCAAGCTCATTATACTGAGATGACTCCTTTGCAGTCTTTACATGTTGACAGATAGGATCACATATGCAATAGCTCTCTGAAAATAAGTATAATTCAGATTAATAGGGCTTGATCCAAACTAAACATTTAATAAATGGCTGTCTCCCTGAGTTCTTTCTAAAGATAATCTTTAGATTATCTTTAAGATAATAAACAACTTCTTAGATATTTTCTTTTCACTGTAATTGAATGTATCCTCACAAAAAACAAACAGACAGGCTCCAAGGGTCTGAGATATAGCAGATACCTCTTCCTTATCGAAAATGTCTAATGGCAGAAGATGGATCAGAAAATTGAGACATTAGCAATTAGCTGTGGAATGGAGCTCATTGATTGATTATATTAAAAATACATGTCTCTATTTTTAAATATTTTTTTCTCAGAGATTGATGAAGTATAGTTTAATACAATCCCAGGTTCAGAGAATTTATATTTACTAAGTGAGAGGCAATGAGTACTGTTCAGGAGACCCAATACCTCTAAAGATTAAAGTTTTAATTAAAAGCATCAAATGTTTTTTCTCTCCGGAAAAACATATTAGATCCTTCCAAATTAATGGATGGAAAACATTTGTTTCTGCCACATACCAGAGGCTCAGATCATTTGAGGCAGGCAACTACTGTTTATTTCTATCCTCCACAGTCTGAACTCCACACACTACTGTGTTTTCTAACTTTCTTCATTTGGCTGTTCTCAAGCTGGCACACGACAGACTCCTAAGAATATTTTCCAGAAGGGTTTCTGTGTATTTGCCACTGGGACAAAATATGTAATATGAAGATAGACATGCAAGGAATGCAATTTCAGAATAATCCTACTTCATGGATTGACATTAGATTTAAAGCTTATAAAATTATTCCAATCTGATATCAGCATAGTTAAATAAAATTGCATTTTATACTATTATTAAGTTATCATAATTCAGGTATAATATAACAATGCCTCCTAACAGTTACAATAGGCAGGTTGCATCCTGGGACCAGAACCACTCTGCTAATGATCAAGGCATCCTATCAAGTGAAATCGAATATAGCAAAAACATTTCCAGTTCTTGTTTTCTCTTTCACTGGAAGCCATCACTGTTGTCTTGCTCATTCAAGGGCTCACCCTATTTATAGTTACTCTCTCCTCTCCACATTCCAAGGCAATCTCATTTGCTCAGGACAGGTGACCAGGCCTATGTTGCACACAATAATCCACATGTTCTGTAAGGTAGCCCATGACCCATGCTAAAACTTTTAGAAATAATACAGACATCTAACAAAAAAATGTGCTCAATACACAAAGAGAACACAAAGTACAAGAATCTAGGAAGTATTTCCAATTGCTATTTCCTGTAAGAGTCTTTTAGCATATTAAAGAAAAAATTTTAGATCACCTATCTTGAGTTTGGTTTCTCACAAAACCATTTAAGTTACAATGTGGAAACTGTTTTTAAGGTATGTATGGAAATATATGCTACTGGGTTTCTGAATTCATTTTGGAGGCAAAGTGAGGGGTGAATGACACCTTTAACATGAAAAGAGAGTCAAATTCCATGAAAAAGTTATTTCTACTACCAAACTTTCAGGCTTCCCTTTGTTTCCAAGACAGCTTAATGAAGTTTACAACCTATAAATTAGGTACATAAAAAGGGTGCTTGAGGAATTCTACAATAAAAATGCTCTCACCCACAAAGAGCATGCTGCTGTAATTCTCCAACATCACATCAATGTACAAAGCCCTCTGAGCAGAGTCTAGGCATCCCCATTCTTCCTGGGAGAAGTCCACAGTCACATCCCTGAATGTCAATGGATCCTGAAACAAAGTACAGTTTGACCAAGTGATCCTGGAAAGAGGCTTTCCTTGAGATAAGGAGACTTGAGGAAATTAGGGATGGAGATGAGTGAATACAATTACTCAAAGCAATGATTTCTGATATAGTCACGCTTTATAATGAATGTTCTAAGTCCCTGAAATCAAGATGACAAAGTAGTTTCACAAGCACATCCATGAAAAGAGACACACATTTAGGTTTGGACACAGTTGTCTACTTGGTATGGATGTTGTGTTTGTGTCCCATGAATCACAATGTACAAGTCTCAGAAGGAAAATGGTAATGAGGAAATGTGCTTTAATTGTTATACCTATAGATCATGCTAAAGTACTGACAGTGAATCAATCCTGTGCATGTTTCAGCCTGATATGATTGTACTCGAACATTCTTAGTTTGTATGTATAAACTCCCTTCCATCAACTCCATTCCATTAAACAAAAGGAACAGATATGTATGGAAGACAGAATTCACGACTGAATCTATAACTGTTTTTTTCCTCCGCAGTAACGACGAGTGTAACAGCAATGTATACTATCAATTTTAACATTACAACATTCGATGAAGATTACTCTTATAAGAATATCCGAGTCACTGGCAAGCAGATAAAAAATCTACATCAGCCACATTTGATAAAATCTGAAATTTAACTCAAGGATAGGCATAAGGCATCTTAGGCAATTAACACTTTCAGAAGTTCTGGTGAATATTTCATTCCCAAAGAGTTATAAAAATTGAGGTAAGTCTGAAAATACATTAGGTAAGCATGTTATGTGTGGTAACTAGATGGATTCAGAAGTGACATCGATTTCCTGTGAGTAAATGAAGACATTAAATTGTGTGAGAATTATAGTCCATTTTCAGTGTTTTGCAAATAAAATATAGCACAGAAGAATGGCTCAGGAGAAAATCTGAGCTACTGTGTCTGAATTTTGTAGAGCTCAATGCATTCTTTTTAGTGCTTATGCTGTATTTTAGGTTAGCAGTTTTCATGACTCTTTATTTGTCGGACACATTCTGTCTGAGCCATGAATCGGGAATAGAAATGCAAACCTGCAGGTCCCAGCCCTTTCCCCAAATCTCCATTGTGAAACACCGCAGGTTTAGAGTAGGGGAATTGAGTCATGGCTGCCAGAGGTCCCAGCCCTTTCCCCAAATCTCCATTGTAAAACACTGCAGGTTTAGAGTAGAGGAATTGAGTCATGGCTGCCAGAGGAACTGACTAGAGCAACGCAATCACGAAGAAAAGTTTTCTGCATCAAATGCGATTGTTGATGCACACCAATCAGTCAGCACTCTAAGACTTCATTCCTGATGTATTCCATGAATTGTACATAATGAGTCCCAGCCAGAAAGGGCTGCACAGTGGGCTCCTGTTTGGGGGGTAGAAAAGATAAATAAAAAGTACTGAACTCTTCTCATTAGTTCAATGAGCTTCCTAACAAAGTGAGCAGCAATTCTTCTGAGACAAACAGATAGTCAGTGCCAACAAACACATGGACACGTCATCACTGTTGTGATATTAAGCACCAAAGAGAAATATAGGTAGACTACAATCTGAATCTACGCTCAAGAACATCAGTTTCATGGCAACATCAACCCATGTTCTGCACTGTCTAATGTGCTTAAATTTTTAGTACTAGGATCCAAGTAATATACTGCATTAAAAAATCAAGATATGTCTCTTTTAATTTGACAGATTGTTAAGATGTGACAACTAGTCCTTGTGATTCATCAATGTGCGCTTTTATAACCATGATTGAAGGAAATACAACAGACCCCACCAATGGAGCCTATATGCCACAGACATCCTCACACACTAATAAATAAAGATATAGTTACATCTTCTACAGCAATTAGGCTTAAACATATTTTTGTTCATATGCTAGAGTAGAAATTTTCAAAATTAAAAGGTCATAAATTCACGTGAGATATTTATTCCCAAATAACCCGGGGAGAGTAAAGTTGAGAAAAGTGCTACAGGAGATGTAGTCATAACTGAGTTACAGTGTACAGGTGTAGTCCTAAAGAGAGCCTGGTATAGGCAGACAATTGTACAGGAATATAACAGAATACTATATATATGTGTGTGTGTGTATACATATATATATATATATATATATATATATATATGATCCAGAAAGAATACTGTATGTCCACTAAATATTTAATAAGGGAGGCAAAAAGATAGATTAGAGTAATATGGTCTTTTCACCAAATGGTGCAGGCAAAACTGGATCCAGCAGGAAAATGAAATTAGATTTTTATCTTTACGTGTACAAAAATCCATTAAAATGGATCAAAAGCCTTATTTAAATCCATAAACACAGATACTAAGGAAACACAGGAACTACCCATGAGGATATGGAGACGGACAAGGACTTATTGATTAGAAAGAACACCAACAGGAACTGACCCAAGTATCAACAGATGGGACAACATGAAAACAAAGGGTTTCTGTACATCAACAGAAACAATCAGCAGAGCACACAGACACCCACAGAATGGGAGAGAATCTATACCTGCGACACTTGGGATAGGGGCTCAAACACAGAATTTACCAAGAGTTACAGAAATTAAGTAACATGGAAATAAAACTGCCAACAACAAATGGGCAAATGAACTGAAGACAGACTTTCAAAGACAAATATACAAACAGCCAATAATTATTGCAAAAGTGTTTAGGATTCCTAAAATGTCATTATGGGAACACAAAATAAAACTACTTTGAAATACTGCCTCACCTCAGAAAAAAGAACCCTTATTAACTGTTGGTATGTTAGGGAAAGTGTAAATCAATACAGCCATTCTGGGAATCAACTTGGAGATTATTTAAAAAAAAATGAAGAGAGAACTAAAGTAAGACTCAGCTTCTCACTCCTGGGCATTACATAAGGTACTCTGCACCCCAATTTAGAGATATTTACATCCCATGTTTACTGCTAAAGTATTCACCATAGCAAACTATTGTAATCAACCTAACTGTCAATCAACAGGTGAATGGATAATGAAAATGGTATACATATAAAGTGAAATACTATTCAGCTGGAGATGCATGTAATAAAAATTTGCAGGAATGGATAGACTCAAAATATGTGATATTAAGTGAGATAATACAGTTTCAAAAAGAAGAAACTGTATTTTCCCTCATATGCAGAATCTAGTAAATAATGTGTGGATATGGAAATAATGTATATGTGGGCACAGTAGAGCATGGAAAAAGAGAACAAGAAACATTAAGTATTAGGGTTGAGTTAGGACTAATGCAGGTAATGAACACAAGTTATAAAAAAGGATTAAATTAATTTCTTGTCTAGTTCTAATTCTGTCAATTTTTTTTCTTTTTCATGGTAAACATGTTCACAAAAATAAGTTATACAACAAAAACATACAATCCCTTGTGAGGCTGGAACTCTAACTGCATAAAAGTGCATTGAGTTGTATAGACTTTGGGTCTGGTGAATTTCAGTGTGTAACTTTTGTCTGCTTGTTTTTTGCAACATTTTTCATAATGAAGTTAAAACAATTAAAGGCTTCTGGTGTCTCAAACTATAACAGTTCTACCATAAATAAATAAAATAAATAAAAAGGGACATGACCACTGACCTGGGACAAATTAACTGGAGAATCAGCCATTTCTTATTGTTTCTCTTCTTTGTGTTTCTCTTTCAGGAATAATGAATAGATGGATGACTTGCTGCCCTTTCAAATAACGGGTCAAAAAGAAAAAAAATTAATACTGAAAGCAGTTAAAGAAAAACGTCAAAACATATGAAAAGACCCAAGGAAGAGACTACGCCCAGGCTTCTAGTCAATGATCCCAAATCCAGGATGGCATGAAATGACATTTGAAGCTTGGGGGGGAAAGTCACTGTCAATAATATTGTTGCATCCAGAAAAATTCTACCTTAAAATTGGTGGAGATAAAAGTACAGTTCAAGACAAAATACAAAGTATAGTTAGTACAAAGTAAAGCAATTCATTTCAACAAAGCAAAACCACAGACAATACACCAATGGCAAAAATTGTACGGATGAGTCGGAGGAATCACCCATAAGAACATGGGAAAATATAAATTTCATGTGAAGAATAGATAAAAACAGGAGAAATGGGAAGTAACAATCCATGTTTGTTTGCAAAATGGGGAGTTTTCTGATTATGCAGACCCCAGAGAAATAAATGTATGGTTTTGAGAGAAAACTTTGAAGAAAGGTGGGTAGGGTCATGCCATGACAGGTGAGTCCCAGTAAGAAGAGTCTTCCTTGCGTCCCATGGATTGTGGTACCAATTGGGAAGATTCTGATAAATTTCTTAACTCAGCTCTGGATTCAAGATGTCACAAGTATATTCATTGCCCTATATACCGGAGTCTATACAGAGGAAATAGGAATAGTGTGGGTTGATGAAAAAGAAATGAGATGCCAGGGTCTTCCTTTCTGGATGTGTATGAAAAGTACAGGCCTCTACGATAGAACTGAGGAACAGAAAAATATTATAATCAGCCAGTTAAATGATTATTATGAAATTTTTTTTTTTTTTGATTTTCGAGACAGGGTTTCTCCGTAGCTTTTGGTTCCTGTCCTGGAACTAGCTCTTATAGACCAGGCTGGCCTCGAACTCACAGAGATCCGCCTGCCTCTGCCTCCCGAATGCTGGGATTAAAGGCGTGCGCCACCACCACCCGGCTTTATGAAATATTTTGAACATCAAATGATTCTACATGCAACATGGTTAAGGTAAAAATTATTTCAGACTGTCTAACATAACTGCACGAGCACCTAGCCTACACACAGGCTGCACAAGTAGAGAGAGAACAAGAAAGCTGCTGAACCTCCAGATGTGCATTCATCCCTTTCTTTCCCCCTTGACTCCACACCTCCTCTTTGGGAACTGAACTCCCCTGAAGCTGTTCTTTGGGACTGCTGAGAAGACTTGACAGCCTACTCCACAGCATGGGTGAGCAAGGGCTCACCCATGTTCACTGCTGCTATACTCACAACAGCTATAAAAGGGACACAACCCAAATGTCCTTCAGCTGACAAAGGGATTATGAAAATGTGGTGTATATATACAATATGAAATCGTATTTACCTGTAAAGAAAATTGAAATCACGAGCTTTGCAGGTAAATGGATAGACCTAGAAAAGATCCTATTGAATGAGGTAACCCAGACCCAAAGACAGGCATTGAATGATCTCTCTCATAGGAAATTCCTAGTTCCAGGACAGGCTCCAAAGCTATAGACAAGCTAAAGAGAAACCCTGTGTCGAAAAACCAAACCAAACCAAAACAAAACAAAAACCCCCAAAACAAAACACAACAAATGGCACTGCAGAGCCACATAAACAACCGCATCACGGGAGTGGGAGAAAACTGACGAAACAGCTTAAAGTACAACAGTAGCAGATGCAGAACCTGTCCAATAGCAATGACCATGTGAATGTCATCAAAATACCACAAACAGATGTTTCAGACAAGGGTAATACACTCACACCAGAACTTCAGAGCCTACTTCCTTCTGAACAGCAGAGAAACTGCTTGCACCCCTTTGCGCCTTCCCTGCTGGGTCCCAACCCCTCAGCTCCTCAGACCTGGGAGGTTCCAGGGCCGCAGGGTTGCGGTTCCCGCCGCTGCGCTGCTGACTTTCCCAGGCCGCTCGGCGCCGCCACCGCGTCGCAGCGACACCCGCCTACTCCTCCGCTCCCAGGTCTGCACCTCAGGATTCCGCAAGTGAAACAGGGAATGTTGAAATTGCAGTCACTTCAGCTTGATTCCTCCCAGCTGTTCCTCCTGTCCCCGCCCCAAAATACCTCCGCTTCCGGGTACCTGGTTTCCCCCCCTAAACCCGCCTACCACGGGCATCTCTTCTAGTTTTCCAGTTGCACCATTCTTTTCAACTAATCTTCTCTGATTGACAGGTGTTCCGTCCCATTAGAGACCTGTAAACCCCACTCCGTCTCAGGCTGCTTTCCACACAGCTCCAGCTGTCAGGCTGCCCTGGACCCGCTCTGCACAGCTCCCCACATGCTTGCTGCCAGCCACAACCAGAACTGGATCTAGGAGGACGCTGCATCCCGGTGTCTGACCTCACAGTGAGTTCTGAACCCTTCAGATAAAAGACAGGCAGCCTAACCTCTACTTGAGTAGTAGGCTCTTGGTGAACAACATGCTTACACCTGAAGCGCAACCCAAATTACTTTTATCAATAAAAACCTGAAGTCAGATATCGGGAGTGAACATTGAAGGACCAGAGAAGCAGAGCAACCAACCACCAGAAAGTTCTTACATCTAGGAATACTCAGACCGAGTGGGACCGAGATCTTGTCTCCTCCTGCCTTATATTCCTGTCATCACCTCCCTAGTGCTGGGATTAAAGGCATGCACCACCACTGCCCAGCTGTTTCTCTCTTTTTGACTGGTTCTATCTCCTGTGGCCCAGGGTGTCGATGAACTACTGATCTCCCTGCTTCCTCCTTCCAAGAGTTGGTATTAATGGTGGGTGCCACCTCTGCATGTCCTCTATAGCTATCTTGGCACTCAGATCTCCACACAAGCCTTATTTGTCAGAACACAAACAAAATATCACTCAGCGTAACACCAAACCATAACAGGCTAAATTCAGATTCTAGCGTCCCATCGTGAACATACAAACATGAGAAGCCGAAACCAAATACTTCAATTTTGCCTTGGGGAGAGACAGTACAGGAACTTGAATTTTGAAAAGAATTGGGTGTCTCAAGAAGTCAGAGTTCATTGCTAACATCCCTGGGCTGAGTTCCTCCTGAGCTGTACTGATCTCACCCCTAGATGGTGGCCTTGTCATTTTACTAACTCAGAAACAAGTTAGGGTGATACATGCTAAAGGTGATTTAAGATAAAATATAGAAAAATTCTTTGAAGTAAAAAATGCAGTGGCTAATGCAGAGATTCTTGCTGTCCTGGTTGCAGAAACAGTAAGTAAGTAATGTGGTTCCAGCAGTGAAAATGTCAGTTACACCATCCTGTCTATGGCTCTGGGATCATTGACGAAGAGATCTAGGGAAGGGAATGAGAAGGAAAAGAGGAGGAAGAGGTAAGACATGCTGCGCTCTAGACTCCACACAGCTGCTGTGTAACAACTGTTGCTCAGTAACCAACAGCAACTCGATTTACCTGCATTGGCCACACAATCAGTGTAAGAAGCACGACCCTAATTAGTTTTTTTCTTTTGGATTTTCGAGACAGGGTTTCTCCGTAGCTTTTTTGTTTCCTGTCCTGGAACTAGCTCTTGTAGACCAGGTTGGCCTCAAACTCACAGACATCTGCCTGCCTCCGCCTCCCGAGTGCTGGGATTAAAGGTGTGTGCCCACCGCCTGGCTATAACACTAATTAGTATTATCAACAAATACCTGGAGTCAGATATCGAAGTAAATGCTGAAGGACCAGAGAAGCAAAGGAGCAGTCACCAGTGTCTTTTGACTTCTTCCGATCCTCTGACCGAATGGGGACTAGAATCCTGTCTCCACTTGCTTTCTATTCCTGTCTCCATCTCCTGAGGGCTGGGATTAAAAAAGCATGAGCATCCCAAGTGCTGGGATTAAAGGTGTGATCCTCCAGTACCTGATTCTTTTTTTTTAATTAGTTAATTTATTTATTAAAGATTTCTGCCTCCTCCCCGCCATCGCCTCCCATTTCCCTCCCCCTTCCCCAATCAAGTCCTCCTCTCTCATCAGCCCAAAGAGCAGTGAGGGTTCCCTGCCCTGTGGGAAGTCCAAGGACCTCCCATCTCCTTCCAGGTCTAGTAAGGTGAGCATCCAAACTGCTTAGGCTCCCACAAAGCCAGTACGTGCAGTAGGATCAAAACCCAGTGCCATTGTTCTTGACTTCTCAGCAGTCCTCATTGTCCGCTATGTTCAGCGAGTCCGGTTTTTATCCCATGCTTATTCGGATCCAGTCCATCTGGCCTTTGTGAGTTCCCGATAGATCATCCCCATTGTCTCAGTATATGGGTGCACACTCGTGCTCTCTCTCTGCTCCTAATTTGGACCTTGGGATTTCGGTCCAGTGCTCCAATGTGGGTCTCTGTCTCTGTCTCCTTTCATTGCCTGATGAAGGTTAACATCCAGGAGGATGACGATATGTTTTTCTTTGGGTTCACCCTCTTATTTAGCTTCTCTACACTACCTGGCGTCTATAGTTAACTTGTGACTAACTCCACCCTCTCATCTCCAGGCAAGCTTAATTTGCCAGAACACAAGCAAAATATATAACAAGTGTAGGAAATGGAAGGCTTATAGGGCCCAAATGTTGGCTATGGATGGATTGGAGGAGAAGAATCATTGCATTTAGCTGTAGTTCTGCTGAGCCCACCAGGCTCCAACACACAGATCCAGACTCACAGTCTTAGAGATGTCTCTGATCAGTCTCAGTGGATCCCAAGAACAATGAGTAGTGATAAACACAATAGAGAGATTAGTTGGCATTGTAGACCAGGACAGTAGAGAGGTAGGAGGTGAGAGTGGACAATGTTTGAGATACAAACACACAAACATATACAGAGTGCACTTGTATTATACATATATGTGTTTGTGAATGTAAAATAGTTAATGATAGATTTTTGTTTTGTTTTGTTTTGTTTTTTGAGACAGGGTTTCTCTGCAGCTTTGGAGCCT